CCATGTTGACCAGGATGGTCTCGATCTCTTGACCTCGTGATCCACCCGCCTCGGCCTCCCACAGTGCTGGGATTACAGGCTTGAGCCACCGCGCCCGGCCTCAAATCAAGACTATTGTAAAGGTGTTCTTAAGAATAGAACTTTTTCTTGTTGTGTCACTTTAAACATGTGCTCACTGTAAATTTGTTCAGCACCTGCCGTGTGCCAGAGATGACAGAGCCATAGGCCTTACCCCTTTCATCCCAGCTGCAGAGGATGAGGTAAAGATTGCAAACTGTTAAGGTGGGCAGTAGAGGTGGTTGTCTGCCAATTAGGGAAGGTGGCAGGGGGTGGAGGGCTCATCAGGCTGAATTCATAAGGGCAAGGCAGCGTTTCATCTGGTGTCCAACACAAGAGAGTAGTCTGGGCTACCCGTGAACATTTGACTGAAAGCATTTTGGTTAAAAACAGTTGATCAACATGACGTTGGCCAAAAATGAGCTCTTCAGTGATGAGTTGTTCAAGTATTGGTATTTTCAATACATCAGGAAGTAGATTTTTTTTTTTGAGATGGTGTCTTGCTCTGTTGCCCATGCTGGAGTGTTGTGGCACAGTGTTGGCGCACTGCAACCTCTGCCTGCCAAGCTCAAGCGATTCTCCTGCCTCATCCTCCCAAGTAGCTGGGATTACAGGCAAGTGCCAACACACCTGGCTATTTTTGTGTTTTCAGTAGAGATGGGGTTTTACAGTGTTGGCCAGGCTAGTCTCGAACTCCTGACCTCAAGTGATCTGCCCACCTTAGCCTCCCAAGGTACTGGGATTACAGGGATGAGCTGCCGCACCCAACCAGGAAGTAGATTTAGAATTTTGTATGTATCTCTAGCATTTTCTTCTGTTGTCTGAATTCTGTAGGGTTTTTTCCCCTATTTTTTGCATGTTTCTAGTTTATTTTCAGCCAGTTATTTCTGCTCTGCAAATTAAAAGTAGAAAGTTAAAAGCAACTCAGGTCCAGGCACAGTGACTCATGCCTATAATCCCTATACTTTGGGAGGCCGAGGCAGGTGGATCATCTGAGGTCAGGAGTTCGAGACCAGCCTGGCCAATTTGGAGAAACCCTTACTCTAATAAAAATACAAAAATTTGCCAGGCGTCATGGCGCACGCCTGTAATCCCAGCTACTGGGAGGCTGAGGCAGGAGAATCGTTTAAACCTGGGAGGCAGAGGTTGTAGTGAGCCAAAATCGTGCCACTGCACTCCACCTGAGGGACACAGTGAATCTCCATCTCAAAAAAAAAAAAAAAAAAGGCAACTCGATGTTCAGCTTTTTACCATGAATGTGTACAGGCAAACTAGGGTATAAGATCACCTGCTTCCTAGGGTACCTGGATTGCAGATGTGTGGAAGATGAGGATTTGTTTTCCTCTCTATCGCTGAGATAGTTTGCTTCAAGGAACAACCATTTTTCTGACCAGGTTGGATGCTGCACATGGGGAGGGTGGGCAGATAGGAGTCTGGCATTGGCCCGTCTGGGAAGGGTGGGCAAGACCTATGGGGAGAGTGGCGGGGAGGAGTGTCGGAAGGAGAGGAGGAGCCTGGCACAGGAAAGGCTTGGAGCCACTGAAGAGTTTGGCCTTTTTTCTGCAGTCACGTGAGCACAGATGGTGCTCAGGAATGGGTCTGGGAGAGAGATGACAATTTAGAGTCAGGCCCCCACCTGGCTCTGGGACCCACTTGCCTTGCGACCCTGTGAATTTTATCCCTGTCCCGGGCCTTGTTGAGCTCCTCTGTAGAAGGTGAATTTCTGTGACTGTACTTTTCTGAGTGGTCACATTTTATTATCTACTTTAAAAGTCTCTCTCTCTGTCTTTTTTTAATCAGATGATAAACACTCTGTTCTGAATTTAAAGGTAAGATCTTTTTTTAAAAAAAACAACAAAACTGATTTTTCTCAATAAATAGAGTTTTCATCATAATTTTCCAGCAACTTTGGTGTTTTGTGGGGGGAATATAAATCTTCCTTTAAGAGTTATTTCCTATTGAATATTTCTTTTAAATACTTTTTTTTTTTTCTCCAGAAGGTGGTCTCACTATGTCACCCTGGCTGGAGTGCAGTGGCACAATCTCAGCTCACTCCAGCCTCCGTCTCCCAGGTTCAAGCAATCCTCCTACCTCAGCCACCTGGAAAGCTGGGATCACAGATACATGTCACTGCACCCAGCTAATTTTTTGTATTTTTGGTAAAGACGGGGTTTCACCATGTTGCCTAGGCTGGTCTCAAACTCCTGAGCTCAAGTGATCCACCCACCTCGACCTCCCAAAGTGCTGGGATTACAGGCATGAGCCACTGTCCACAGCCTTAAATACTTTTAAAACATGAGGAAATTAATATTTTCCATAGTTTAATGATGAAAGTAAAAAAGGATTAGAAAGAGGCGGGCGGATCACAAGGTCAAAAGATTGAGACCATCCTGGCTAACATGGTGAAACCCCATCTCTACTGAAATTACAAAAATTAGCCGGGCGTGGTGGCACGTACCTGTGGTCCCAGCTACTCGGGAGGCTGAGGCAGAAGAATCAGTTGAACCCAGGAGGCGGAGATTGCAGTGAGCCAAGATTGCGCCACTGCACTCCAGCCTGGTAACAGAGTAAGACTCCGTCTCAAAAAACAAAAACAAAAAACTACTTTATAATTAGAATGAATGTAGAACAAGTAGATAATTTTGTCTTTTTTAAAAGTTGTTTTTTAAGACAGGATCTCCCTCTGTCACCCGGGCTGGAGTGCATTAGTGTGATCATAGCTCACTGCAGCCTCAATCTCCTGGGCTCAAGTGATCCTTTTGCCTCAGTCTCCTGAGTAGCTGGGACTACAGGCACATGCCACCACTTCTGGCTAATTAAAAAACATTTTTTTAGAGATGGGGTCTTGTTATGTTGTCCAGGATGGTCTCAAGCTCCTGGGCTCAAGTGATCCTCCTGCCTTGGTTTCCCAAAGCACTGGGATTGCAGGCATGATGTGACAGGGCTGGCCTGAGATTTTTTTTTTTTTTTTTTTTTTTTTTTGAGACAGAGTCTTGCTCTGTTTCCCAGGCTAGAGTCCAGTGGCGCGATCTCGGCTCACTGCAACCTCTGCCTCCTGGATTCAAGCGATTCTCCTGCCTTAGCCTCCCGAGTAGCTGGGACCACAGGCACGCACCACCACGCCAGGCTAATTTTTGTGTTTTTAATGGAGATGGGATTTCACCATGTTGGCCAGGCTGGTCTCGCACTCCTGACCTCAGGTGATCCCATCTGCCTCAGCCTCCTAAAGTGCTGGGATTACAGGCGTGAGCCACTGTGCCTGGCCTGGCCTGAGAATTTTAATAACTAATTTGCAAACATGGAAATAGTTCTAACTTAAGTTTCTCATTGTGCGATGTCATGGGAACTTAAACATTTCTCAGGAGAGTTAATTTATAACCTTGTCTGCTTTGTCAGCAGAAATTAGAAACTTAATATCACACCAATGTGTAAGGAAAAATTAACAAGTTCCCAGCCTCCCTTTCCTCTAGGTTTGGGGTTGAGAAGCAATATCTTATTAAAGTTTCTTTCTCAGCATTTTGCAAATGTGCTTTCCCGCCATTGATGGGATCCTTTTTGCCCATCCCAGTGAGAAGAGGCCTGGCTGGAGTTTGCTGTGGGCATCACCACACACCACTTGCAGCCCTACCTAGCACATGCTTTTAAATGTGAGCCCAGAGCCTGCCACTCATGGGATCTACCTGTAAAGGCAGTCACTGAACTCAGTACAGAAATGCAGGAAGAAAGCGCAGGCGGGCCTTCCCTTATAGCCTGAGAGAGCCCCCCGGAGAAGACATTTAAGGTCTACAATTCAGGTATAAGAAACAGTATAATCCCAGCATGTTGGGAGTCCAAGGTAGGAGGATCCCTTGAGCCCAGGAGCTCAAGGCCAGCCTGGACAACATAAATGAGACCCCATCTCTACCAAAAAAAAAAAGCTAAAAAAAAAACAAAATTAGGGGTGATGGCCCATGTGTAATCCTAGCTACTTGGGAGGCTGAGGTGGGAGGATTGCGTGAGCCCAGGAGCTGGAGGCTGTAGTGAGCCGTCATCACACCGCCGCACCCCAGCCTGGGTGACAGAGCAAGACCCTGTCTTAAAGGAAAAAAGAAATAGCAGATATTAAAGGTTTTTTTCTTTTTTTATTTCTGTAGGATAGCACAAAGATATTAAAGTTTTGCAAGCTAAAATAAACTAAGAACAGCGTGAAAATGAAGGAAATAAAGCATGCTTGTATACCTGCTGTCTAATGACCTAGCTGCCTGTGTCCACTTTGTAAAACACTAATGCTCTGCACTGACTCCTCTTACGTTCTTTCTTTCCTAGGATGAAAAACCTCCATTACGCGAGAAACCGCCACCTTCCCCAGGTATCTGCCTTTCGAATTATGTTATGAAAAGCTTGTCGTTTTGGAGAATATCCAGATTAATTTTATCTGAAAATAAAGAGTACGTTTTCTTTTTCTTGTATTAGTTGTTGACCTTCCATCCTTGTCTCAAAAGAGAGGATGCAAACACTATGTAGTGGACGTATGTCCATGCAGGGTGTGCTTGGATCCTGGGAGGGCGGGAGTTGGACCTGGGGGGATGTGGACCTGTGGGATGTGCTGGGATCCTGGGGGAAGGAGTGGACCTGGAGGATGTGCTGGGATCCTGGGGGAAGGGAGCTGGACCTGTGGGATGTGCTGGGATCCTGGTGGGAGGAGTAGACCTATGGGGTGTGCTGGGATCAATGCTGGTCAGGTGGGTGCAGTTATGGGCTCTGCTCTGAGGCTAAAGGCAGAGGGAGAGGTCCAAAAATCCTTTATGGGTTACAGCCCCCTGACCCAAACAGTTTGGGGAGCTTCAGTAGCTTCCAAAATGGAGGTTATAATTTTTGCTGTTAGGTCCCACATCGTTACAAGATCTTTGGGGTGTTGCTTTTCTGGCCGGAAATGTCTGTGGTACCAGTGTACCTTTGCCCTAGTTGTTGTCTTGCATCCAGGAAGAATAAGGTAAACAGACAAGTGGAGGGTGAGCAAGATGATGAGGCGCTTTACTGAATGTTAGGACAGCTCAGGGGAAACCCACAGTGGGCAGCTCCTCTCTGTAGGCAGCCTGTCCCGTCAAGTGTTCAGTTCTCAGCAGGCAGGAGACTCTGGAGCGGGTTACTCTTCTCTGCAGGCAGGTCATCTGATTGTCTCTGTAGCTCTCAGCAAAGAGGAGGCCCTGGAGAGGGTGGCTCTTCTCTGCAGCTGGTTGTCCTGATGTCCGCCCAGCTCCTAGCAGAGAGGAGGCCCTGGAGTGGCTGCTCCTCTCTGCTGCTGGTCCTCTGACTTCTCTAGCTAACAGCAGAGAGGGTAGCTCCTCTCTGCAGCTAGTCATCCCATCTGCTCTGCTCTGGCTAAGCCTGGGGCTTTTATGGGCCTCAGAAGGGAGAAAGTGAGTACCATTTGGTCCATGGGCGGCCATGGGTGGGCCTGGAAAAGGCACCACAAATTCCCACTGTGGTTTCACGGATGGGCAGCCTGGTCCCCAGCCTTCAGGCCCTCCCTGACCTGAAGGTGGGGCCTCACCAGGGACCTGCCTGCCTCCACCCAGGAGCCTGTCTGCCTCCCACTGCTCAGTCCATGGCATCCAGGCTGCTCACACCAAGGGGCACCTGGAGGCCAGTGCAGAGCCACCCTTAGCCCCGCTTGGCTTCCCCTCCTGTGCTCATGGGTGCCCAAAGTCTGGGGGGGTTGAGGCAGCATATCAGCACTGCCCTGAGCGTGCACACTCCCAGCCAGCCCATGACAGTGCCCAGGCTTGGCCCCAACCCTGCTCCGAGATTAGAGCAGGCGCCAGGAGCAGGGAGAGGCCAGGTAGCTGGAGCACAAACACCCGTGAGCCTGCAGGAACATGGGAGCCTTCCCAGGCCCCCAAGGGTGCAGACTGCAGAGACACCCGGGTCTTGCACTTGGGAGGATGGCTTGCAGTAGCACCCTGAGAGCTGCTGCCTTGCCAACTCAGAAGGGGCAGGGCTCCCACTTGTCCCTGGCTCCTGATGGTGCTATGGAGCGTGCATCCCTGACCATGCCTCTGAAGCGGGTGCCCACAGTGGGTTGAAGCCAGCAGTGGGAGCAGGCACTTCTGAGCCTGTGGGGGTTAGTGGGGGCTTTACAGAGATTCTCAGGTCTGCAGCTGGGCTTGGGCGCTGCAGCGGCACCCAGGGAAGGCAGGGCTCCTGCCTGCTCCGCAGAGCTAGAGGCTTGGGCCACACCTCCCTGCTCTAGAGTCTATGCGGTGGCTGGTCTAGATGGGCCCCACTGCCATCAGCATCGCTGCTCTGGAAATGCTGTTTTAAGTCTCCTCCGTGTCAGATTCAGTTTATTTGCACCCTTTCAATCTCAGCATTTTCAGTGCTGTATTCTGGGCGATTTTTGGGGCTCTGACTTCTACGCCATGTATTCATTCTTCATGATGTGCATCCTGTGGTCCGGCCCATGCTTTAAGTTTATGGCATTAATCGAATGTTAACTTCCGTGGGTTCTGGGAGACACCGACTGTGTCTCTGAAAGCGGTAACCGTGCGCATCCAGTCTCGGGGTTTGTGTTGTAGCCCCATCTCCTCGCCCACTTGCCTTTGGTGCTTCTCTGGCTCTGCTGTTTGCTGCCTCTTGGGGTCTCTGAGATTCCCTGTGGCTGGCAGGGGGATGCTACTGTTTACTGCACCCTGCCTGGAGAGGGAGGGCCAACGGGCTGGCAGACTACCAGCTGCTGTACCGACTGATGGGGACGGTCAGGATATGAGGCCAGCCTGGATTCGTGGGAACCCCTCTTCTGGTTTTCTCCAGGACCCTGCTCTGCCCTGCCTCTCTGCCCTCAGGGCCTGTGTGTCCTGCCTGAGGAGGGGCACTCATTTCTGCTATTGCTCCCTGGGTCAGGTGGGTTAACCCCCTGCTGTTCCACCTCTGGTTGTCTAACTGGACAGCTCATCAGCTGTTTCAAACTGCTTCTTTTTAAATATAATTTTATTGATTGATTGAGTTTCATAGAGATGGGATCTTGCAATGTTGCCCAGGCTGGTCTTGATCCTGGCCTCAAGTGATCTTCCTGCCTCAGCTTCCCCAAGCGCTGGGATTGCAGGTGCGAGCCACCAGGCCCAGCTTCAGCAGCTCTTTCTAGGCCACTTTGTGACTCCAGTTCCACCAGGGCAAGGCATAGCCCTGGAGCCACCCCTCCGCTGTTTTCTAGCTGCCCTCTCTTGGCACATTTCAGGCTGTGGCGTCCATCTTCAGTTTCATCTCCATTGTTTTCTCTGGGATTTTTCAGGGTTCCCTTGTTTCTGTATAGCTATGGAGTTCCCATTTCTGAGCCTCACGTTTTGTATGTTAGGGATTGGATGTGTGTCAGGGGTTGGGCCAGGCTCTCCGGAGCCACCAGCCATCCTGCCCTTGTCTGTGTGGAAGCTCCCTTTCACCTCTACCTCCCCTGGGAGGCGCGCTGGCCAGGGGCCCATGGGAGCCTCACCTCCTGTGACCTTTCAGAGCACATCTCCCCATGGAACAGCGCCGTTTTCCACCCCGCTTCCTTGCTGTTCCTTCTTAAGGTCCTGTGTGACCTCTGTTTTCTCTCCCTGGTGCCTTCAGGCCTGTGTCCTAACCCTATCCTGCCTTCTTGTCTTCGTCCCCACCTGCTCTTCCCGGTGTGCTCCTATCTGGGGAAGCATCTGCCAGAGACAGGCCTGCTTGGTCGTCCTGAGGCCGCTTCTCTCTCACTGCCCGCACCCGGCCAGCCACCAGCCCTGGAGTCCTGCTCTCGCGTGTCCCTTTCTCTCTGTCCCCACTCTAATGCTGCCCCTCGGCTGTTGGGCTGGGCCTCATTCTAACCTGCCTTCTTCCCTGCTGGCCTGAGGGAGTCACCCAAGAGCCAGAGCCTCTTTCTTCTCACACTTCTGCCTGAAAGCCCCACTGGCTTCTGCTGCCCTGCAAGATGAACCTTCCACGCCACATCACAATAGGCACGGCCTCCTGCAGCCCTGGCCTCCCTCTCTGGCCTCCCCTCAGTATCTCTCTGCCTGCTGTGACCTCGCCAGGCCACTTTCTCTCTCCTATACAAGCCACTCCCTTCCCAGGGACCAAAGAACGCGGCACCAAGCCTGATATGCTTTTTGGAACAAAGTCACATGATTTTGATGTAACGTTGTCAGCATCAATTAACATTTTAAAACTTTCCCCATGTACCCTTTCAGATATAGCTGGTAGAACACGTCAAAGACATGCAGAAATAACCAGAGAGAAGTTTGAGGCATTAAAAGAAGAAAATGTGCACCTAAAGAATACGAACCAAAGCCTTACCCTTGAACTAAATGCAATGAAACAAGCAAGGAAAGAATTACTGTTAAAACTTAAGGGAACGGAAAAAGAGAAGCAAAAGCTGGAAGAGGCTGAGAAGGCGGCGTCACAGGACGGTGGGGATGGATGATGCTTTTATTAGAGGAATGAGCGGGACTTCAGTCAATTATTCCAAGAGTTAATATTTTATGTTTTGATATTTGTTGATATTTGTTTTGGTAATTTATGTTGTAATATTTCAGGCTTTTTGTTAATATCCTTATGATTGTTGATATTTGATTTCATCTGCTGTATCAGTATTACACCAAAGAAATTCCTAAGGTTGGAAAGAAGCTAAATTTTAAAAAACAAAACAAATTCCAGTACTTCTTTTGGAACTTGATGCTTTGTTTACATATATTTCACGTCAGCTTTTATCCCCAAGAGAAGCATTTAAAAGCTCCTTCTTTACAATAGACTTATCAATGATGATGTTTTCCTTGCTAGTCTGATAAGTTAAAAAAAAAGAAATAGCATTTTAATTTGTATTTTTTTTATTATCGATGAGCTTGAATATTTTTTCATATCTTTTCAGGTCATTTTCTTTTTCTTTCATAAAATTGCCCACTTTATTTATTTTTTAGAGACAGCATCTCACTCTTGTCACCCAGGTGCCTACCGTGGGGTGATCAGAATTCACTATACCTTGAACTCCTGGGCTCAAGTGATCCTCCCACCTCAGCCTCCCAAGTAGTTGGGACTAAAGGCGAGCACCATGATGCTGGGCTGGGTTTTTGTTTTTTTTTTTCAAATTTTTTAAAGCAACGAGCTCTCATTATGTTGCCCAGGCTGGTCTCAAACTCCTGGCCTCAAGGATTTTTCCTGCTTGGCGTCCCAAAGTGCTGGGATTATAGGTATGAGCCACTATGCATGGCCAAGTTGTCCTCTACATTCAGACACTTGACTTCTTTTTACTGGTTTGCAGGAACTCCTTACATATGAAAGATCTTACCCTTTCTCATAGGTATAATATTTTCTTAGTTGTTTGGTAATTGGGCTAAATCTATAAAATGTTTTTCTTTTATGACTTAACACCTTAGGTGTTAAGTCATTTTTAACTCTAAGATTACATAAATATTCACCAGTATTTTCTCTACACCTTTTTCTATTTACCTAAAACTGATTACACAGCTTTAAGTAAGGTGGCGTCAGTTTTTTTCGTATAGGCCCTGCATAATTCTTATCTTAGGTACATTTATTTTTAGATACTTTAAATTATTCGTGCTGTTACCTTGTGGGATCTATTTTCTGGTTTTTTGTTTTTTGAGACAAAGTCTCTCTCTGTCACTCAGGCTAGGGTACAATGGCGTGATCTCGGCTCATTGCAACCTCCGCCTCCTGGGTTCAAGCCACTCCTGCCTTAGCCTCCTGAGTAGCTGGGATTACCGGTATATGCCACCATACCCAGCTAATTTTTTTTTTTTTTTTTGTATTTTTAGTAGAGATGGGTTTCACCATGTTATCCGGGATGGTCTCGATCTCCTGAGCTCGTGATTTGACCACCTCGGCCTCCCAAAGTGTTGTGGTTACAGGCGTGAGCCACTGCACCCAGCCTATTTTCTGTTTTGTTTTCTAATGGGACATTGCTATTATGTGGGAAGGTTATTAGCTCTAATATGTTTTCCATGTATTCTATATGATTTTTCAAAGCACATATTTTTATGTCATCTGAAACAGTGACTATTCCTTTCCAACTTGAAATTTTTATTTTACTTTATTGTACATGCAAAAACTTCCACAAACTTCCAATGTTATGTTAACTGTTCAATGTTTAAAAACTCTGTAACTTTGGCCGGGTGCAGTAGCTTATGCCTGTCATCCCAGCACTTTGGGAGGCTGAGGCGGGTGGATCACAAGATCAGGAGTTTGAGACCAGCCTGGCCAACATAGTGAAACCCCATCTCTGTGGAAAAAAAAAGTTAAAAAGTTAGCTAGGCGTGGCGGTGGGCACCTGTAGTCCCAGCTACTCAGGAGGCCGAGGCAGGAGAATTGCTTAAACCTGGGAGGCAGAGGTTGCAGTGAGCCGAGATCACATCACTGCACTCCAGCCCGGGTGACAGAGCGAGACTCCATCTTAAAAAAAAAAAAAAAAAAAAAAGAAAAGAAAAACTTTGTAACTTTTATTTATTCACACAGACACACACACAGTTCATTGTCTCTGAGTGTGAAAGGGGGGGAAGCAAATGATTTGCAATTTAAATAAAATCTGGATAAATATGACATTATTTCTTACAGCATGATATTAAGTTATCATTTATTTTCTAGTTGCTGCCCCTGAGTTACTTTGTCTGCGAAAACAAGCTCAAGAACTGGTGGATGAAAACGATGGGTTGAAAATGACCGTGCATCGTTTGAATGTAGAGCTCAGTCGGTATCAGACAAAGTTCAGGCACTTGTCCAAAGAAGAGGTAACGTTTCCAATCGTGAAAAGTCAGCTTTTCAGATTTCTCAGCCTTTCCTGTTGAACTGATTTCCAGTCTTGAGGGGTTCTTATTATAATATGATAGAAGTAAAGCTCTGTCCAAGGCACAGCGTTTCTAAGGATCATTCTGTTTCTTGCTTCCTTCCCTTCCTTCTTCCGTTTAATTAAAGCAATAGAGACTGTAAAACATTGGGACAATACAAAAGTATATAAAGTAACAGGCTGGAGGAGGTGGCTCATGCCTGGAATCCCAGCACTTGCAGAGGCTGAGGCGGGAGGATTGCTTGGGCTCCGGAGTTTGAGACCAGCCTGGGCAACAGCAAGACGTCTCTACAAATAAAAAATTAAAAAAAATTAGCATGCCTGTAGCCCCAGCCATTCAGGAAGCCGAGGCAGGAGGATCTCTTGAGCATGGGAGGTCGAGGGTGCAGTGAGCTGAGATTGGACCACTGTACTCCAGCCTGGGCAACAGAGTAAGACCTTGTCTCAAAAATTAAAAAAAAAAAAGTCAAAAAATGGAAGTCTGTGTTGGCTGCTCCCTTCTCAGTCACGTTCCTGAAGGTTGCAGCTGCTGTCAGTGCATGAACTTGGAAAGGAAAGCAGAGTTTTCCATTCTAAGAAGAGTCTCAGAGTCCAGCTCCACACGCTGTGTACCATTCAGTGGTTTTTATTGTAATCACAGAATTATGCAACCATCACTGCAATCAATTTTACAGCACTTTTGTTAAATCAAGAAATGTCAGCCGGGCGTGGTGGCTCACGCCTGTAATCCCAGCACTTCGGGAGGCTGAGGTGGGCGGATCATTTGAAGTCAGACGTTCGAGACCAGCCTGACCAACATGGTGAAACCCCATCTCTACTAAAAATACAAAAAAAATTAGCCAGGTGTGGTGGTGCACACCTATAATCCCAGCTATTTGGGAGGCTGAGGCAGGAGAATCGCTTGAACCCGGGAGGCAGAGGTTGCAGTGAGCCAAGATTGTGTCACTGCACTCTAGCATGGGTGACAGAGTGAGACTCTGTCTCAAAAAAAAAAAAAAAAAGCAAGTGTCATACCTGTTGGGAGTCACTCCCTGACACTTTCCCCTGCCAGCCACTTCCTCCACCTCAGTCCCTGGTCACCACTAATCTATTTTCTGTCTCTATGAATTTGCCTATTCTGAACATTTCATAGACATGAAATCATACAAGAGATGACCTCGTGCGACTGACTGCTTCTTTCACTTAACATAATACTAACTTTTTTTTTTTTTTTTTTTGAGACGGAGTCTCGCTCTGTTACCAGGGTGGAGTGCAGTGGCATCATCTTGGCTCACTGCAACCTGCAACCTCCACCTCCCGGGTTCAAGCGATCCTCCTGCCTCAGCCTCCCGAGTAGCTGGGACTACAGGCATGCGCCACCATGCTCAGCTAATTTTTGTATTTTTAATAGAGATGGGGTTTCACCATGTTGGCCAGGATGGTCTCAATCTCTTGACATCGTGATCTGCCCGCCTCAGCCTCCCAGAGTGCTGGGATTACAGGTGTGAGGCACCACGCCCGGCCAATACTAACTTTTAAACAACAAATAAAGTTCTTGGGGGTCCTATAATTCAAAACCTGCTTGCTAAATCAGGGCCTTCTGCAGGACCATGGGGCGGGCAGGCAGGCCCAGGGACAGCCTCCTCCCATGTTGTCTTCTGCCTTGTGCAAATGCCGCATTATCCAATGTAGTCTTCCTGATCAGCCCAGCCAGAAGTGATTAATCTCTCCTTTTTTTTTTTGAGACACAGTCTCTCTCCATCGCCCAGGCTGGAGTGCAGTAGCACGATCTCGGCTCACTGCAACCTCCGCCTCCTGGGTTCAAGCAATTCTTGTTGTTCAGCCTCCTAAGTGCCTACGATTACAGGCACGTTCCACCACTCCCAGCTAATTTTTGTATTTTTAATAGAGATAGGGTTTCACCATGTTGGTCAGGCTGGTCTCGAACTACTGACCTCAAGTGATGAACCCTCCTTGGCCTCCCAGAGTGCTGGGATTACAGGCATGAGCCACCGCGCCCAGCCTTCTCTCTCTTTTAAACCATTGCAGACTTTTGTTTGTAATTACTCTGAAGGTACTTACAGCATCTACCCTATACTGCTTTTGTATATCATGTTCATTTGTGTTAGTGGAACTTACTTCTGTTACTAGGTCATAGAATCCTGGATAACAAGGGTTGCATTGCAGTGTCCATAATGACTTAGTGAGTTGCCAATGTTTGCAGAGTGAATGGGTAATTAAATAAATATTAAGGTGTTCGCATTGGAAAGCTTTTGTGAAATAAGAATTATTTTGTCCAGGCCATTGATTCTGTACCAGATTTTCCCTCCTGCTGTAAACAAATAGAAAACCAGACAGAATATGTAATGCAAATGTTTACAGACGTCAAACACAGGCAGCACCGGCCTATGACCCTCAAGAGCAGCAGGATAAACAGATGAGCCTGTGATCTGCTTTCTGTCTAGAGGCAGTCTCAGATCACAGAGCAAGGAGGAAGGGCCTGAGCTGAGCCCTCTCCTGTCTGGGGAAGCTGAGGAGACTAGAGTTTATAGGGCACGAATACCAGAAAGGAGGGAGCCGTGGAGAGAAAGAGCTGCTTATGTAAACCTGCATGGGGCTCCTTGGTGTCTTGTGGAATACTACCCTGCACATATGTAGGAGACTCCAGGAGACTGGGCAGAAAACAGGAACAGGGAGCTGTGAGCTGCATGGTTCCCAGAACTCACACAGCACTGGGAAGCTTCTAGTTCTGCCCAGCTGCAATGGAGAGACCTTGCTTTGAGTCAAGAGCCCAGGATGGCCGTGCCTGAGAGGTATGGCTAAATGAGCTTTTTAGGAAAGGTCACGATAGACCTACCATGACCAGCCTCAGAAGCATGAATGTGATCCACAAGCAACTTAGGAGCTGAAAGAAAGAGAGAAGGGAGGAAGGAAAAGAAACCAGTACCCTTTAAAGGAAGAGAACAAAATCCGGGCACTCAATAATGTCACGATATTATTGGAATTATTGTTAGAAGGGCGATTTGGGCAGACATGGGAAGGAAATAGGCTGGAGATGTTTTAGGCAAACTTAGATGCTTCTTAACTGAGAAAGTTCAACATCCAATGAAAAAAGTCCCTAGATATGTTCCAGATTTAAAAAGACTAAAAAGGGTCAGAGACTAGGTACGGTGGTTCACACCTGTAGTCCCAGCACCTTGTAAGGCTGAGGCGGGTGGATCACTTGAGGTCAGGAGTTCGAGACCAGCCTGGCCAACATGGTGAAACCCCATCTCTACTAAAAACACAAAAATTAGCCAGGCATGGTGGCAGGCACTGGTAGTCCCAGTTACTCAGAAGGCCGAGGCAGGAGAATCGCTTGAACCTGGGAGGCAGAGGTTACAGTGAGCCAAGATCGTGCCACTGCACTCCAGCCTGTGCGACAGAGCAAGACTCCACCTCAGAAAAAAAAAAAAAAAGGGCCAGGTGTGGTGGCTCACGCCTGCAGTCCCAGCACTGTGGGAAGCTGAGGCAGGAGGATCATTTCAGCCCAGGAGTTCAAGACCAGCCGGGCAACATGATGAAAACTCATTTCTACAAAAAATACAAAAATTAGCCAGATGTGGTTCCAAGCTGCTGAGAGGAGGCTAAGGTGGGAGTCTCGCTTGATTCCGGGAGGCAGAAGTTGCAACGAGCCATGATCTCATCACTGCACTCCAGCCTGGGGGATGGAATGAGACCCTCA